GCGCGGAGTGGGCCTGCAACAATCTAGAGTAATCGTTTGTAATTAGAATTGTGTGACAGTAAATTGCGGAATTCGCGGACTTTCGCCGTTTTGAACACAATATAAATTGCTCGATTTGAAGTCACTGATAAATGTTAGCGGATATTACTGTGGCTTTGTAGAAATCAAACGTGAGCGTATTATATATTTATCATTATATATGTATAGGTATAATAAATATAAAAGTAAGAGCTAAAACCATTGTGGTAGAAGAAAATAGATGTGGTGCCTGACGACCAGAATCTGGGTTGTTCTGAAGAAGCACTGTGCTGACTGGAGGTAATAGTTAACCCCTAGTCGAAGAGTTGTGATCCTTATGTCAAAATTTGAGTAGAAATAGCGCAGCTACACAACGACACCTCGATAAAGACCTGATGAAATTAGATTAAATCTTTCCTGCTGTTAAATATTTGGTTTAAATGATATTCTTGTTGAATATAAAGATCTATAGCGTCTACTCTGGTTAAAAATGAAACCACCAACTGTATATTTGTGGGCGTCAAATTCAAGCTTGACAGCATCAGCAAAATTTTCTCTCGTAAGACTTGTACGGATTTGTAAATAGCATTGATTAACACCATTTGCTAGGTTATCCTAAGGAAACACGTTTGCAAAGCGTTTGATAATACCCTCTGATCGAATTCGACCCGAAGTGCACGTGCAGACTGAATCGGTAAACATTTTTTTGCTAGATTAGTGCAACTCTTTACACGAACACTAAGTATAAAGTGCGTGTGTTCGGCAGCTGTTTCTTTACGACGCGAATAGTTTATCTGGCGATTTTTACCATGGAAATAAAAATTTAACAACGAGCTTACTTGAAATTTTATGTTTTTAATGGAATCACGGCTACGGTATCGTGAGAAAATATTGTAGAAGACTTTCGGGGAGTCTATTTTATCAAGAACACCTGCATTTGTTTGTGATTTGCACAAAGCATTCTGTGAATATCGTGAAGTCATCGAACATTCGCCTTATGCGAGTCGTCCATCTACCTCTATTAACGACGATAACAACGAAAAAGTTGAAGAAACAGTGCTTGAAAATCGTCAAGTTGGCATAAAAGAGATAGTAGAGGATCTCAACATCTCGTATATATCGAATCAACCATTTCGTTTAAGGTTTTGAGTATGAAATTAGTGAATGCTAGACGCGCACCAAAACACCTAAATCTTTTGCAAAAACCACGTAGAGCTGAGGGCCCTACATTCTTCAAACGCATCATAAGCGGTGGCTTTATGAATATGACAACAATCGAGCGAATGAAGCTCCAAAAATGAGCCGAAGCTGAAAAAGTCAAAATTTGCTAGAGGCATTGAAGTCACTGAAGGCCATCCCAGACGAGGCATATAGAAAGTGTATAGAAAGTTGTATTAAGCGTTGGCTTCTTTGTATTGGCTCCGGAGCCTATTTTAAAGGCGATATTACAGATTTGTATTAAAAGACATATTGATTTTTGTCAGTCCGGGTCAACTTTACTTCAGATGGTAATTTTGGTATTTCAAACAACGTCACTTATTTTATTTAACATAGTCGGTGAAATCTTTCGTACAGGCTAAATTTATTGGTTTTAAATTGGAATAAAGAGTTACGCTTCTCTGTTGATATCAGTGCGTTGACCGCCTTTTGAAGTTGTAGACAATTTCGTTAATCGGCGAGCATAAGCATAAGTACTTTGAAAAATGTCAGCGTTTAAAGCCAATGATTAATCTCTCTTCTCAAAACTTACGTACTGTTGTGGTCTGAATTGAAAAATATAGTTCTGCTACGACTGCTATGCCCATACTTAGCTGCAAATTGCGATACACAACTGTAATTTGGTACAGTGAAAAGTAGCAGAAAATGGTATTAAACAAAGTCAACAACTTTTTTGAAGGGTACATATCTTACAAACAACTAAAACCATATCAAGTAAATTTGCTCAAGACAAATTTTTCCGGTTCTCCCTCACAGCCCATAATATAATGGTTTGGTTGAAAACTACTAAAGGAGTGATGACTCATTAAATAAATACGTCAAGCATTAAATTTCAAATCCTGTATGATATATATGAGCCTCATATGTGTCCATGACAAAATTGTACTATGCTCTGGCACCACCCAACTTTAGGTGAAATCCTATATCTCAAGAACTAATCGACCAATTTCAACCAAATCTGGTTATCTCAACAACCCTACTTCTCACATATAAGATTTTTAAATTCCATATGAATGTTTTAGTTTATAGAATATAAATCGAGACCCAGTAGCGTTATTGAAATAAAACTTTATTCAAATAATGCAGTTAACTTTATGCAGCATATATCGGTCAATATGTGAGTTATCCTAATGAAACCCAGGAAACTTCTTTTTCTGGTAATGATATGTCGTAACTTTCACTTTCCACCTGACCTCCATCCTTTTATTCCGATATTAAGATATTTTAATGCAATTAGGTGGACTTCTTAACCATAATGTGGGGTAGCTCAGAATATGAATGAAATTGGTCTAGACCTTTGGTCTAAATCCCATATCCCTAACAAACTAATTTTCGATCCTTTGGTAGATATTTTCTTCATATACCCAATATATTAAATTTAACCCCTTTGGTTTAGCTTATATCACATGCACCCGAACTCAGTTAATCCTTACTTGTTTAAGATATAATACATGCCGACCGATATAAAACAAGAATTCAACCGATGAATTGTGCACATTACAAGTCTACAAGAAGGTATTAACCGAATTCATACCCACATCATCTTCGTTCGTTGAAATTAAGAAATTATTTCAATTTTATAAAGTATTTTTTATGTATGTTTCGGAAATTAATTTCCCGCCCAGCATTGTAAATAGTGCTAACGGTAAGAAGGGTAAAAAATAATAAAGAAATACAAATTCCATACAAACGAACTAAACTTTTCTGTTCTCTCTAAATAATTTACCCCTAGAAAAAATATGAAATCCAATTACATACATTTAATTTTAAATATCATATGGTCTTATCTGTAAACGGGCAGGTGTGTACTTATGTATATGAGGTTCTAAATGAATATTGCTGACTTAACAGCAATATGAATGGGCTTAATCAGCAGCTTATTCATTAATTTGGCGCGATCCTTTATTCATAAAGTTCTGCCGCTGCTACAAGCCTACATATGAACACACAAACACATGTACGCAGATATGACGAATAAGTCGAGCGACAATAAGGCTGTATATAATACAAATACGAGTCTATATATATGTTCACGTGTGTATACATATATACGCAGTATAGGGAAATGTACGCACAAATGCAATTTTCATCCCCTTCAGTAGAAAAATTCATATGTTTCCAACAAATACTTGCCAACTTAAAGGTGAATGTTTGTGCATTCTTATGCGTGGCAAAATTATGCTCACATAGTGCGCGTGCGATATATTAACGCCACCCTGCAGAGAAAATCATCGATTTCGTAGTAAAGTCCTTCCGGAGAATTCAGCACGATTAAATATCCTTTGCATATCCCAGAAATGGCAATTATCCCTTTTGCATATATCGTGTATGTTTTTCTTGCAGGGCAATCGCATTTATGACGTCGTGCCGAAATATACGAATTGTTGAATGTTTGCTTGAAAGATTTCCCGTTCCCTAATTTATGTATTTTTAATTGAAATTTTTCTGATATTCATTTTCGCGTGATATTCAAAAGTATTTTTACAAGTTTGCTTATTTTTATTTCTAAATGTTGTACCGAATCAAAACAAGAAAAGGGCACATTTCTATAATTCGATTGAACTAAAAAAACTTTATGGGTGAAAGAAGAGTATTTGTCAGCGAACAATTAGGGCTAACCCAAAATATTCACAGATGTAGCTAATGAACTTAAAAAATACGTGTCAGAGTCTACAATAAAGAGGACAATTTTCTTTGCGACAGGGTACATACATATGTATTTTAAGTTTACCACGAAGACAGGAACACCCAGAAGGAAACGTCGGAGACCCCATATAGTATACATATATGTATATGTATAAATTATCATCGTGACGAGCTGAGCCGATTTAGCCACCTCTGTCTGTTTGTCGGTCTATCCGTCTGTATATATGTATGTATGCAAAACTGAGGGACTAGAATTTTTGAGATATCGATTTGATATTTTACACACCCCCTTTTCTCCCAATAAATATCCATACTTATATAGCTGACATACAATCTGACGAATGAAAATTAAGTCCTTGTATGGAAAAAATTTTTATTTGACAAGATAGGATTAACGCCACAGTCTTTTAACATATTGTTCAGATCGCACCACTGCTGCTGAAAATACTGGCGGAACAAGATGAAGATAAAGCTATTTTTATCTCTTTTATGCTCAGAAATTCACCTGGGTTTTTTCTGGTTTAAACAAACGAGAACCTTCATCAAATAATACGATAAGATCGTCACATTGAAATTCGGTGAAGAACTGCAGTGTTAGAACTTAAGATCAACGGTTATGAGTTGATTTTTATGAAATTTATGAACATTGATTTACATTAACATGTTTTACGAAACTATTTGATAAAATAATTGGGTATTGTATAACCGTTCAACTTTTATTAGGATTATGCTAATGCTTGAATGACTACCTTATAAAGCCACAAGATATGCAGCATTTCTAATATATGGACACACAAGTATGCATAATCCATATGGGATTCTATAAAGAATTAAGACGAATTGGAAACAGCATAATATCAATTGTAACATCGTTATGGACATATGCTGCAAAAATCTGCTTTCTTTATTCCAAAAGTATTTTGTGAATCATGCCAACCTTATGGAATTGTGTGCATTCTTTTTCCATTTTCAACCTGAGCTTATTGGTTTCCAAATCGACACAGACTTTCCCTTATGCAGTCCAAACTGAAAGGAGCAATCAATAATTTCCAATAGAGTAGCTAAAACAAAAGTTTTACTGTAAAAATATTTTTATTTATAAATTTAAATTTAAAATCGTATTATTTCAACATAAGGGCTTCGGTATTCGAAACAGGTTTTTTTGTAGTTAACATTAGTATGCCGCTTAATGTTGTGACAATGCTAGAATTAGCGCTTTTTTATACTAACAAGCTTTATGAGATTAATTAAATCAATATTCTGCAGTGGTTGGAATAGAGTTTTCATAACTTTTAGCTAGCCGAACCTTGTGTAGATATACATAAAAATAATAGAATTATCATAATACGGTTATTCACTTATGATCATGAACTTTGGTAAGGTTTTATAAGTGGTCTGGTATTGTCGTTCACCTAAGGTTAACTTCCTGCACCTAACAGATATCATTTAACTTATTTGATCGACTTCGCAGCATAAAAATACGCAAGCCTAGGCTTCCTCAAAAACTAGAACGACATAGAATTTCTTTGCTTAAACCACAGGAACCATGCTCCTTATGTTTCATATCTTAGCACAATCTGTGTTGAGCATTCAAATTGTAGTGGAATGTCGAGTCATGAAGCAATATCTACAATGATAATAAGAAGTTAGTCAGATAGCACCGCGAAAGTTCAGCTCTAATGTGCGTACCGTTCTATTGGTAGAAATGATAACTGTCATTGGTACTAGGAGAGATACCGTGCCCCAGGGAAACGAAAGGAGCTATCCATACAGTTGAAGTCCGAAATGAGTGAGTATAAAGTGCGTGAACTGCGTGCAAACAAGAATGATGACTAAAAATTCAACAGAATTTGTCTAAAAACTAACCTCTAAAAACAGAGGCACGAAAAAATTAGAATTTCCAGCAATTTTTTTTGCTATTAAATTATGTTATTTTACAAATGTAGTAATATGGCATATTATACAATGTTTTGACTTGAAGTCACGAAAATTTCAAAAAATAAATTTTTGATTTCCAAAGTTATAGCTGTCTGTGTTGACCCAGTTCCAAAAAAAAGTCCTTGCGGTGACAATCATAAGTCCTTGGAAATTCATCTAAAATCAATCGGATAAAAAAAAATTAGTTTTATAAATAGAGAATCCTGATCAAAGCCTTTTTTATAAAAAATTAACAAAATGGCGGCCTCAGAAATTTTTTTTTTTGATTTTTGGAAAAAAATCAACAAATAGTTGATCTTAAAAAATCGAAATTAAAAAAACAAAATCCTTCGATGAGGCCCGAGTTTATTATGTATTCTAAAAGCTGTATAAATTTTATTAAAATCTACTGAACGGTTTTCGAGTTACAGTTGTCACCAGTTCATTAAACATACTTGTAGTTTGGAGAAAAACGCATTTAAAGTTCTACACCAGAGCTCCCGAGCGCTTTGAAGTGCCCGAGCGCTCTTTGTTATTTGTTGAATAACTCAAAAAGTAATTATCGGATCAACTTGGTATTTTCATAGAGTATTTTCAAGATATTACACTTCGCGAAAATGCAAAAATTGATTATTTGAAAATTCTGACTACCTCAAACCCCTCAATTTGCTTTGAAACTTATTACTATTTCAAGGAAATTAGAACTAAGAGTCTATAAATAATGTTTTCATATGTACATATATTTTTTTTATAGTAAGGGAAACATCGAAAGCCACAGTGCGGAAGTTGGATTTGCTAAACCTAGTCTACTCCCAACTTATACCCTCTCACGGAATTATCAGATTTAGTATACTTTATGTACATTAATACGTATATTTATTTCTCGCATTTGACAAAGGTCTTAATTTATTTGTCTAATCTCTCGTAATGTATTTTAAAATATGCTCAAATGCGTGCAATTAAATAAAACCTATGAAAAAGATTAAGGGCAAGATATATTGCCAATTGCATGAAAAGGGAAAATAGCTAAATTAACCGATGCATATTGGTCTCAACTTATTCTCTCACTCACTCACTATACACAATAAAAAGCAATTGAGGTGATGAGTAAAATACTAAATATGTCGCCTGCTGCCATGCACATACATAAATGTGCATATAAGACTTACCACTTCATAGGTTGCAATGAAAAATCTCCATCCTTCTATCGCTTGGTTCTACGATGCAAAAATACATATGTACATACCTATATATCCATGCAAGCATGTAAATATGTATGTCATTCCTAGCGAACCGCTTTACGCATACATTTTTTGAAAGACTGCTCACAGCTCGCTTGACTGCATTTTGAGTAATATTTCTTCAGTTACAATATTAAATATAAACATGCTATGTAGTAGCTACATATATGGTATATGTACATATGTGTGTGTATGTACTTACGAATGTTCACTTTAAATACTGTTTACACGCTCTGCTTTACATGCCCTCAATACATATTACATTATATGTGCTGGAAACGTTTGTTTTATCTATAGGTTGGAAATGAGTCGTATGTATGCCCTTAGGAACTAAGTACATGGTACTTGCACATACAATATCTGTATGAGTTGGTCATGCACTTCTTCATTCAAACCTACATATGTAAATGAGTGCATGTCTATGCATGGCTATATAATAAATCCGTTTCTTACTCTCAGTTATAAATAAGTACGAATCTCAGTTACTCATACCCGAATGAGCTTGACTCCGTATATTCACATTTATATACTTACTTATGTACTCAACACGTAAATGCCTACTCGTAAGTAAATGAGTCAATACCACTTACTATATATACCGACATATAAGTATGTACACATGTATAAAGCCATTTATATGCATTTCAGTGCTTTGCGAGAGCAACGCATGCCACCAATGTAGATAGAAGTAAATACATTCGCTTATACGTATGTATGCATGCACAATCTAGTGGTTGTTGGTCGTCTTGTGCGCGGTTGACGTTGGCGTCACTACAGCAGCAGCAGCGACGAAAGCTGGATAGCAAAGCAATAAAGAAACCAGCAACAGCTTGGTGATACGAATATATACATATTTACTTTAATTTCCAACGAATGGAATTAAAAAATTTAGTGCAAAAATAAAAATAAATTTAAGCATCAACACACATATATACATATGATATCTATGATGCATACATACATATATATGGTGCATCCATTCACAACTTTAAGTTGCTAAATGAACAACTTGTATTATCCGGCAGTTTATTGCATAAAAATACACATCTACATGCATATAAGAGCATACATATCTACAGTCAATGTAAATACAAATATGTAGTTACCTGACAACAAAAAGATCGAAAGTAGCAGCCACAGCAGCGCAGCGACCCGTATACAGATACAGTATTCATACAAATAAATATGTATGTAAATAGGTTTGGCTGTGTGAATGTACACATTAAAGTAGTCATACCACCAGCACAACGTTTCAGTCTTTCCCAGCGAGCTCGCTAGCTACAGAAAACCAGCACAGAAAGGCTCGCTGTAGTAGAAGTTACCCTCAGTCGGTATTTTGTTTTTCCCACTATTCGACTCACTAACGAGCGACGTTGAATCGTCAGCCGGTGCAACTCTTAGCCAAACGACCCGTCGGCCACCGCTAACAATTCTACTAAAGTACTGCTGTAGGTTGCGCAGTGGCGTGCTGTATTAGGGTTTTTTTTTTAACTATTGTACATATACATACATTTATTTGAGGTGCTAATTTTCTTTAAGTATCAAATAAGATTAATACTTTATTTCTTGTTGTTATATCTTAAATCCATATCATTTAATTATACCCTAAAAATAAGTAAATTATTAGCGTAACGAACTGCGTCGATCTGACTGTCTATCTGTATATACGTGAACTGGTATCTTAGTTTTTCAGATATCGATCTCAAATTTTACACATGTTCTTGTTGTCACAAGAAGCTGTTCATTTGTCGGAATAGACTGAACCTCTATACCATATAGCTGCCATACAAACTGTTCGATCAAAATCCAGTTCTTGTATGGAAAACTTTTGTAATTTACGAAATTTGGCACGAGTTATTGTCCAAAGCAACGCTGCATTCTCAGCACAAATTGTTCAGATCGCCTATAGCATATAGCTGCCATACAAACTAACCGGTCAAAACCAAGATCTTCTATGGAAACTTTTTTATTTGCAAAGGGTATACAACTTCGGTGCAACCAAAGTTGACGTTTTTCTTGTTATTTTAAATTATGGTCTGTATGAGTTACTAATTTACTCCACCAAAAATAATATTAATATTATTAACTGAAATTTAGGTGATTTAGATTTTCAAAAATTAAAAAGAGAAATCGGTTTCTACATATATTTATCATAAGAGTGTTTCTAAATATCAGTAAATGTAAAAAAAAAAAACACTCTCGCTCAGAAAATATATGTACATAGAAATTTGGTTCAAGTTTGTGAAGAATTGTACTCAAATACCTAACCCCAAGCGAAAATTTTAAACACTCCGCCACTGTTTCAACTGTGTGTTGTGTATACTGTCAGTATAGTGTGTTGCTGCTGTCAGTTTTTTGTCTTTGTGGTAGAGCGACAGTCGACACTTTGGGTTCACTGTGTGCTCGTAATATATGTATGTATGTGTCGAGTATATGCATGTGTGTGCCGTATATACATGAAACCTTACGAATATGCGTGTAAGAGTCGATAACTTTGTGCTGTTGCAGGGTACTCGGTGATTCGACGTTGATGCATATGAATGTGTGCATATACCCATGTATATATAATATTTCTATCTATATATCTATACGATATTTCATTAAAATTTGTACCTTCATAATCGAAATACATATGTAAGTACATAAGTAGGTAAATATATTTCATAAAATGTAAAATGTAAAGAAGTAATATATGCATCCACACAAAAATAGTTACGTTGTACTTTCATGTTAGTACATACGTATGTAAGTGTGTATATATGTATGTACATGATTTACTTGCATGTAACCTCTTACGCCTATTGCCGGCATATTTGTTGGGCGTTTGTGCATTCGTAGCACGCGTGTTTATCGAATGGTGAGCTATAGGCAACCGTATATTAAATCACTTCGCGTTTCCACTCGCTAAAGAAACCAACTACAGGGTTGCATTTACATAAAGTAAGAAAATTTTTACATACATTTATATATTTATAGGTTATAAGAGTGTAAGTATGTCTGAATATGAAATACGTTATCAAAAAGGTATTTTTGTATGTACATACATATGTATGTATGTATGCATGTAGTGTTCACAAGCAGCGGAAACCGGAAGGTGTACCTTATTGTGGAAGTAGGATAAGGTTAAGGGAGCACACAAGCAGTCCTTTGCATACAATTTAAAACAAAATTGTAAATAACGCTGTTAACAAATATACAAATCTTTGCGATGTTTTTGATATTGTATTTTCAATATTTACATTTTTTCAAAAGAACCTACAATTTCTTTTTACAGGGTACTTTATTCAATTTGTTATAAAAATGTTATTTTGGATGTGGTGGTAACATTTATGTAATGTACACTTTAACCGTTATAATTTTTAGCTAATTTAATTTTCCTGGCTCTGTCTACGTCATGTCATGTTCAATCGGCCCTATAACTCCAATTGATATCGATAGTAACGTGTTAGGCCTCACAGATCACAGATCAATGAAATAGCTGCTTTGCCATGTATACATGCATACATACACATACATATGTGCACTTTCACAGGCACACACGCTCCTTTATTGTCAGCATTTCAGCGTTTTTTTGTGGCTACAATTGTGTTCGCTGCTGCATATTGCCTTCCAGATTATTGCTTCATTCCGATTCTCAGTTATGTTGCTTTATTGCACTGTTGAATACGAACAACAAGGAACATTGTATCGTCGATATTGAATTTGACATCATTAAAAACTCGTGTGTGCATGTATGCAAGTACACACATGAGGGTACGTATGGCCTTTTAAGTCTGTTGCTGCAATGTTTCATATTGGATTTGGT